TCTACTCAGTGCAGAGCACAGAACTAGGGGCTTCGGGGAAGGCATATGGTATTAGAGGATTCTGTCTTGTTTGACCAGGGTAATCATACAAAGTCATGCCTAGTACGCAATCATAGCGCAATATAAAAACAAGTACATTACAAGTGCCTTAGGTGACTGAGGTGAAAATTCTATGGACTCTCTCCTCTGGGCACTGTTCTCTGATAGAAGACTAAAAATGTTTACATTTAATTTTGTTGTTTTTTTATTATATAGAATATGGCATCAATCATAAATTAAATCTTCAGGGGAGGTGGTAAAACCAACAAGAACTCTGAAGAAATTGAATTGCCTAAAGCTAAACAGCTATAACTGGAAATATATATTAAATATATTTATAAATACATAAAAGTCAGACGCCCGTGTGCCTTCTCTACTGTGTATATGTGGATGGTTAGCCTGTAGTTCTGAAAAGCTGTACCTTTCTTGAATCTAGATCCAAACCATACGGCAGGTGGGTTGGAAACACCAGGCATGCATGTCAGGGGCTGGGGCACCAGGCTACCCTGGCACGCTGTCAGACTGACTGCTGGGCTGCTGCCTGGCATTAACTACAAGTCTCCCCCGCCGGCAGCTCGCGGTCCAGGCTCCTGGCTGGGACTTGCCTCTTGCCCTGCGTCGCTTTGGGCACGGAGGCAGGCGGGAAGGCACAACTGGGGATAGTTGAGCAATGTGGAGCTGCCGTGACCACAGCTGGTGCCAGCAGCCTGGCACACAAAGCCCTCTCCTCTTCACTGAGCATGCCAACAGAGGTTGCAGCTATCCAAAGTGTATGATACCCAGCTTCCAGGACAGTTTGCTTATTCAGTTACTAGGTTGGTTGTTTTTTTAATCTTTTCCCTCCAATTTAAAATGTAATTATTCCTGTGCTTATATGGAGAACAAGCTATTTCCATCACCCATTTTCCCTGAGGACAAGAGTACACATTCTCATCACACTTTTAAGACACATCAAAGTGCCTCTAAATGCGGGAAAAGAGGAACAAGTTCAGAATAAAGAGAAAATATTTACTATAAATAGCAGTTAACTCTGATTATTTGCAAGAGGCATTTATTAGCAAGCAAAGGGGTCCTGAAGGTTGTGTTTATGAACAACATATGCACAAACACGCACACACACACACACACACACATTCTCTATTCTTACTGGGAATCTTTATTCAAAGCAAAGAAACCATTTTAAAATTCAGATGAGAAAGAGAGCAATCCTAATGTGCACCAAATAATTCTTTTGCTCCTTCAAAAGCCGAGTCTCACCCCAATTTTTCTTCTCCTTCTAACCTCATCCAGATTCCCAGCCGAGGGAGCCAGTGACCTAATTCTGCTCAGTTCTAATGCAACACGGGAGCAAATTCAGAATACCTCGGTATTGGCCTTGGCGGGATTGCAGAACCCCAAAGCTGTTATCCTCCTCCAGAGGTAATCCCGTAATCAGTGCTACCACCAACCACCCAGCCCTTCTATCAGCTTGTAGGAGAAACATCTTTACCTCCTGTCAAGCGGTGACCTAAGAAGTGTTAATCCAGTTTACATGTTCAGGGTCAGAGTGGGTACAGTGCTATCTATTTTGGCCTAAGAGAAAAGGAAAATTGCTTGCTCTAAGTATTAGATTTCTGTTTTTGTCCCTGTCCCACTCCCCCCATCCTCTTGGTCCCTCTAGATATATTAAAGGCTCACATGGGGCTTGTAGTTTTTCCTCTATCATCTCAAAGCTCTTGTTCTTCAAACAGGTGTCCACTCTCCTCAATTTTTATAGTGAAGGGTTAGTAAAGCAAAACTTTCCAGTTCCCGATCTAAGAAGCGTTGAGGTTTTAAATTAGGAATTTATCGACATTCCTCAAACTGACTATATTCAGTGATCAAGATAAAATGCATACATAAAATCCTGGCCAATTTGCATGCTCCATTCTTACACACACACACACACACACACACACACACACACCTATTTTTAACCTATGACTGTGACATGCAGTTGTTTTTAATAATATCTTAGTTTTATATAACCGTATATTCAAGGTCTTTATCTTTCAAGGTACATGAAGGTTGTGCATTTAATCTTTAGCATGGTTGTAGGAGATATGATTCACAGAGTAGAGAATAGATAAAAATAAGCATGCATGCAGCAGCATGGTGCCGAATCATCAGAACTCACCATCTTATCAACAAATAGAAGTCATTCTTCTTTATTTCTTGAGCAAAGCAGTTTCATACAAGATAAATAGCTTTCAGTCAGAATAGCCTAACATGTAATATGCATCTTTTTGAATGTATATTCTAGTACTACTTTAGACCATAAGATTAAAATAAGAAAAATCTCAGGGTTGTGTGTTAACAACAAACACTGGTTGCATCGGCATTTTTTTTTTCTATTTTTCACCCCCCAGAATTTGGCTTTGTGTGTGTATATTTGCACATTACTAGTTTTTATTAAATGATCAACTTTTAGTGACCTTCACATACCATTTTCTAAAGTCTTATAAGGGAAATACTTTGGGGGGATTTGTACTTTTTTATATCATGCTTTGGAGATATTGTGTTTTGTTTCCAGGGCATAGTAGGATGTGTTTCTAATAGATGTGTAAATCTAATAGATTTGTGACCTTGAGAAAGCTACTTAGCTACTCTGGTTTTAGTTTCCCCATCTTGCAAGGGAAGCATTTGGGTCAGATGGTTTTTCAAATTGCACCTAGCTCTCATATGATGTTATCTATACATCATTATTCTTTCATTAACATAGAAAGTAGAGGGGGGATGAGGGGGGTGGAATGAAGAAATTAAGTGGACACCATCCATGGCCCAATCCACAGGGCTGGACCGATCTTCCCGCTGTGGGTCCAGACTGAGCACTGTTTTATGGCTGAAACCCTTTATCACCCAGGCTCTCTCGCCCTTCCTAGTCACCAGGCCTGTTGCAATGCGGCCATAGGCGTCTTGCATCTTTCAGGCAGTAATGTTGTTGCAAGGTTTCTGTTCTCACTTACGTATTAACTTCCACTTTCTGGGATGGAAAACTGAACTGAAGCTCCTGAGAAAATTGGCATAGTAGAAAACTTCAATTTTCAGATATTCATTGTTCTTTCTATATTTACCAGTTTGCATGTGTGGAAGAAAGAACTTGGATTTTTATAGCAGGCTGCCTTTGATTAAAACTTCAGCTCTGCTACTTATCTAGCTGTTTTTGGCCTTTTTAAAATTCATCTCTGAAATGTTTTCTCATCTGTGGAATGGACAAAATACCTATATGGATGGTATTACAGAAGAAAAGCAATGTATTTACAAGTGCTCAAAAAATACCTTTTCCCTCCCACTACTTCAACATCAAATTATTCTGGAGGGTATTGACAACGATACTGAACATTATCAATTCCAAGAAATCTACAGAATCTATTTCTTAGCCTCACATTATTTAGTGAGGAGCCATGTTTAGAAATGACAGGGTGTGAAAGAAACTGCCTCATTTACCCCAGAGATATTGCCTCGTCAGTTTACATGGATCAGTTTTGTTTTGGCTTGTACTATTGAGTAAATTGGCTACTTTCTTAAAGTTGACCTTTGTCTGCCTTTGTGACCTCATCCCCTTCTCCTAGCCCCCACAGTTTCAAAGGATGCATATAAACACCTGGGCCTAAGAGGAAATAAATTCTGGAGGTGTCAAATTAGTCTTACATGTGAAAGCTCTTTGAAAAGGAGGAAGATCTGTGCAAACTCAAGACAGTAAGTAAGAATAAAGTGAGATGCAGTTTCTAAAAAAGTAAATTTATTCCTGCGAGATAAAAAGGCCAGTGTATAAACACGTGCTGTGTAACTATGCCCATTTTGGAGCATATGAGACAGGATACAGGAAACCTACCACGAGACAGTCAGGAGGCCTGGGTCCTAAATACAACTTTCCTCCTTGCTCTCCATCTGGGCTGTTACTTGTAGAAAGTAGAGTAGCATCACAAACACTGGCCCTGGCTCTCCACGATTTACTATGTGTGTGAGCTTAGAGAAGTTACTTATCTCTCAGTTTCTCATTATAAACACGGGACAGTACTCTCTAACTCACAAAACTGTGGAGCACATTGAAGAAGATAATAAATGTAAAGATCTTGGCTCAAAGTTTTACTCCGAGAACAGGTTCAAAAAAAGTAGTTAATGATTATGGGCAATATTACTTTTGAAAGAGAAAGTTGGATTAGATGATCTGAGTTCTTTTTCATCTTTAAAAGTAGCTACATCCCTCTTTCTTCCTTAGGAAATATTCCTTGTGGAGTTTGGTACGTCCTGAGCTCAGGGTTTCAGAAGCCTGACCAGATTTAGTAAGAAGAGCGTTCAGATTGGGTACCTGTAGAAACAAAAGCTATCCGGTCTTTATAAACCCAGTTGGTAAGTGAATGTGCATGCATTACTTCATCTTCAGTTTATACTTACAAATACAGAGACCCATCTCAGATAATAAAAGTGAGTGCTGAATATTTTTGCAAGCTATTATAACATTTTGAAAGAATACTATAAACACATACAAGATGTGACTATATGGTAATGAAATGAATTTTCCTGTGTGGCGCGAAGGCTCATTAGCTTAGAGCCATGCTCGGCGCTGTTCTACAGAAGTTGCATATGACATTTCTCACTAATGGCTCATGCTGTCACTAAATATTTGTCTCTAACTCCCTCAGTCTTTGGGAATGCAGACATCCACTTGTGTGTAAATTAATAGCTCTGCAGAATCTAAATGAGATGCCCAGAAAAGTCCCTTCATTTTCTGAGTCCAATAAGGGAAAAAAGTCCTCTTCCTAATTATAGACTCGACCAGAGTTGTTGTTTCCAAATAAATAAGAAAATACTTATTTTATGGGAAAGAATGCTTTATGGGATTCTCTGTAAATAAAACTGGGGCTTTGTTTTTAATAATTTTACTATTTACATTGAACTGTGATTTTCAGCTAGGGAGAAAAGTAGGTGTGCACACTTACTTTCTTCATCAAGAAGATTTTCAGCAGCTGATAATAATCTCATCCTGTCTTCTGGGTTTTTAATGTTTAATTCAATGAGATGACTCTCTTTTATATCCTTTAAGTCTTCTAGGGTCTCATAACCGTTGAGCAAAAGTGTTGAGGTATATTCCTATGGGGGAGAAAAAATATGTATAAGATAAACTAGTCAGATTCAAATATTTTATTTTTAGTTCTCTTTAGATTTAAAGAAAGTGTAGAAGTGCGTATGGAAACCAAAGGCACCGATAGAACTTTTGCTTAACTTTACTTTGTACTAGTTCTCCACATACGAACTCTAGGGCATTTAAAAGAGTATGTTGGAGAATTCTCACCTTCTGGAAGGACAAATGTAAAGAAGAAATAATTACGTTAAGCCGTGCAGTGCTAAATCATGGATCAATTAAATAGCTGGATCATTCATCCCATTTGGCACTTTTTCACTTCTCAAATAGTTCAATTGACAAAGCTAGCGTGTCCTTACATCTATCAATAAAATGCCTCTAAAAGAATAATTATAGTAATATTTCTGAATCTACATCTTGTTTGCTGGCTTGCAAAAATAATTTACCCTCACTAACTTCTTGGGGTAGTTTAAAAGATGAATTTGAAACAGGCATGAAAAATAGACTTAGCATTTGGTGAAAGTCATTATATAAACCTAAGGAATTCCAGACTTTCTATTTAATTAAAAGTTTTTATTAAGCATAAAAGCACTGTGGTTAGGAAAAGTATTGTTTTCTTTTCTCAGCATGTATAGTTTGTCCATCATTTGCATCAATATATATTAAGTTAAAATTCATAGGCTTCTGATTTCTGAGTCTGTATGTTATTTATGTAACCTTTGTTCTCTCTAACAGAATAAAAATGCAAAGTGAAGTTGAATGCTTTACAGCTTGCTCAAAACTTCCTTCCATTTTACTTGATCATAATTTCAGTATCCTTAGTTTGGTTACCAAAACTGAGTAAGAGGAAGCATAAAAGTTTTAAGTAATTAGGAATAACTACCAGCCCCTTTAAAAAAAGAGAGCGAGAGAGAGAGAGAGAGAAAGTACCACTTCTTTTAAAAATAATGTCTCTTAGAAGGAGCACTGAATTAGAACAGAGAAACCAAAATCCCCATTCTGACATAATCATCTGATTGTGGGTTCTTGAGTAAGTTATTTCACTTCCTTAGACCTTGGTTTTCTCATAGGTCACAGAGCAAACAAAAAGAAGAAGCAGGGCTTAAACTTTGTACTTCATCCAAGCAGTACCACATTTGGGGGGCAACAAGCAGGCCTAGGTAGCGTGTCTACAGACAGGAGTATAACTAGATAACTCAGGAGAAACAATTAAGGAAAGTTTAATTGGCTATTGCCTTGATGAATTTTGAAAACTATCAAAGTACTGCTGCATTAATATTAGAAATGGGTTGCAAAACAGTAAATTGAGTGAGGCTAGGTAAATTGTATGTATACACCATTTAATGAGGTAGAGGTTTCATAAAAATTTTGCTAATATAACAAGAAAATAATTGGATTATAAATATAGACAACACAGTTTCCTTAACATAATCATCATGGGGGCTTAATGATCACTATCTCCTAAGAAATTGCTTTTGAAACAGTTACATTTAGCTTTCTTCTCTTGACTTGCTTTTGATCTCTGCCCTATAGAAAATGTAATTTTCTTTCCCTGTTTCCTTTCAATTCTCTGGATTTTTACCTTTACTCTTCATGCTCTCTTTATCATTCTCATTTACATGTTTTCTCTGGACCTTTTATTCTCCTAGGTATTTTTCATTTTTCACTGCACTTTCTCAACATTAATCTCTACTGTCACTGCTAAGTACCATTAGAGTTTAGTCCAAGGGAGGTTATATCAAGACCTGTCCTTGTGTAATAAAAGTAATAAAGGAGAAATAAGTTTTCTTGGAAAACAGATTTTTCTTTGTTGTAAGTCCTATATATATATATTTTTTACCACTGTACCAGCACTGATCCATTCTCCTCAATTATTCCATCCAGATGCCACCAGCATCAAATAGGTCACAGGTTTGCTAACCTGAAGGTGAATCCTCTCTAAGAACTCCTGCAGAGTCTTGGGTTTTTCTATTCCACTCTTTCGGTGTGCCTTTATTTTCTTGGGGGCTGCTTCCTCTTCGGAGATGACATCCACATAAATAAATTTGAAGTTTCCCACCTTATTGTTCAACATTCCTGTCCACATCCCCACTGGCGTTTTGCAGATAATGTCTATGATGTCTCCTTTCTAAAGACAAAGAAATATACCAGCGAGTTTTCAGAGAACTTTGGTGCTATGACAATTAGTAGAAAGAACGGAATCATAGAAAATTAGAATGATGAGGGAATATGATAAGGGAGGTTACTGATAACAGAAATAAATCTAAGAGAAAATTTCTTTTAAAAGTTCAAGGGAACTCTTTGCTAGTAATAATGAAGAACACTTCAACAAGCTTGAAGAAAAGCTCCTACATGCATTTGATGACATCTTTATGTTTTTGGTATATCAACTTACGAACTTACAATTGTAGGGCACAATGGAATTTACAAAGTACTTTTGCATATAGTGAGTCATTTTATGCCCATGACACATTTCTTAAGTACATATACAAGGTATCTTTATAACTCTAAATATTATGGAAAAGAAATGCAAACATTAAATAACTTCCCAAACTCATGGCAGTCAGTTGTCTGAACTCAAAAAATGATGCTCTCTTCATTCAGCTTGTCAAAGCAATAGATATATAGCAAAGCTCGAGCTATCATTCCTGGAGGGGCTCTCAAATGGGGAAGGGAAAGAAAAAGAAGTCTCTGTCCATGCTTCTAGTTCATCTGAAAAATTTACAGTAAAAAACCATCTAAAGTATTGCATTCATCTAAAATCGTGAAACTGTTAAGAGCTTCGTATATCTAAACATGTAACAAAAGTATGTGTGTGTGCACTAAGGATAAATTATGCTACTGAATTATTTCAGAGAAGATAATACTTAGATTGAGCTTCACAACAGAGTTTGGATTGAAATACGAATGAAGCCCATTAGGATGGACAAACCAGTTGGTCTTTTTCTTCATTCATCTCAAAGACTCTGATTGCTGCAGGGTGCCAGTTACCAGCAAGATTAGAAAACCCCCAGGGGTACTTCTTTGTAAAGAAAATTGATTTCTACACAAATACAGTGCCTACATTTAAAAGTCATATTTCCTCCTTTGAGACTTACAAGTTTCTACCCCAGAGAGGACATTATAGATTCTGATACGGGGACTACCCTCAAACAAACAAAACATTGAGTCTGCTACTAAAAATGTCTTTTCCTCATGTTCTAGGAGTGTGTGTTCTCCCATCTAAAACACACATTGTCAATGTGATTAAAAGACTTGATCTTTCTGATTTGTGATCATCTGCTTGTCTGACCTTATGAGCTGTTCATCTGGTTCTTCCTGCCTTTAACCATGGGGAATCAAATCCTGGGCTAGATGGGATCAGCTAAGCAGACCTAGAAAATCCCCAGAAGCTCTAGGGGAGGTTTCTAAGCATGGGAGCTCTATGCTGCATCCTTCCTATTATCCTCTAAACTTATAAAAGCATATGTTCCGGGAAAGCCCTCAGGTCACCAAGCAAAGACCCAATTTCATTATGGATAAGACCCTTGATATAAACAATGGCATTCAATCCTCAGTGGTAACTGGGGGATTCTTACTGTGTCCTGCAAGAGCTCTACAAATAGCACCTTAGACAGCATAAGTGGTGGGGCGCTGGTATGGTATTATAGGGCAGGTGGAAAGCTCTCCTGAGTCAAAATGTGTTCAGTTTGTTCCCTTCTACACCCTCCCCCAACATTACTAGGCTACAAATATTCCTTCCCCAAAACTTTAACTTAGACTTCAAATCATTTCATAGAAACGACTAAGGAGCTAACTATGGACAATAATGTTCTCCTCATTCTCCCGCTGAGCTTACTCTGGTTTGTTACAATAGAAGGGATAAAGAGAAGAGCAGAGTGTCTTGAATGTTAAATAATAACATCAATACTTCATAACTTATAACTGCTGGTTAACATTGGCTTGGTGTTGATAGTATAGAAAAGTCATAATTTCTGTCCTTTTAGCTATATCAGTTTGTGTTACTAAAAGGAATAATTTAACATGTATAAAATACTTTAGCACCAAACCTTCTATTTGTATGATTGCAAAAGCACCTCCCCTCTAGTGTGAGTAGGACTATGAAAACGATGGATTTCCCACCCATGATTATGTTGTATTTTATGGTGCAAGGGACTATGCGGATGTAACTACTGTCCCAAATTAGTTAATGTTGTAATTAAGAGGGAGATTATCTGGGTGTTTCTGACTTTATCAGGTAGGAGCTCTTGAAGAGATTTGAAACATGAGTGAGCTTTTCCCCTGCAGGCTTTGAAGGAGCAAACTGCCATGTTGCAGAGAGGACCATGGCTGGCAACCTCAAGGGTCCGAGAGTGACTCCCAGACAATATCCAGCAAGAAAGCAGGAGTCTCAGTCCTACAACCACAAGCAACTGAATTCTGCCTTGGAAGAGGACCTGAGCCCCAGGGAGATTACAGCTCCAGCTGTCACCTGGATTTTAGCCCAGTGAGACCTTAAGCAGGGAATGCAGTTGGGCCATGACCAAATGTTTGACCTATAGAACTGTGAGGTAATACATTTGTGTTGTTTAAAGTCCCTGAGCTTGTGGAAATTTGTTCCACAGCAATAGAAAACGAATACAGAGAACAAGAGTTAAGAAGAGGGAATTCAGGAGGGAATATCATTGGGAGAAAGATGTCTGGTTATTCATAGCAACTAACTTAAGCACTGAAGTTGCCCAACCAAGTCTGGTTCCCAAGGGAGTTGCTGTGGGCGGCTCTTGCCTGAAATCGCCATCTTTTCTCTCTCTCCTTTTAACTCCAGCAAGTATCAGGCAGAGCTGGGCGCCTCCAGTAACCTGTGAGGCTTTTGGCTTTCAGAAAAATGTAAACAATTTCTTCTCCCCTGATAGGCTTGGATTCTGCGTTACCTCTGTGACAGCAACTTAGGCTGTAGCCTCAACAGAATCTGATTCCCCTATCCCACCTCATGTATTCTGCTCAAATTCTTGCCACAGGAACCCAGTCCTCAGTCCCACTGTGGAGAAGAACACACTCGCCACCCCTCCCCCCTGCCCATGCTTGTACTTCCTGACACAGATCATACCTCCAGTGCTAGACAAACCACACGGAATGCAGATACGAGGTGCACACACCTTGATTTTGAGGGAGTCAGTGTCATAGGGGCTTGGTGTAAAATCAGTATGTACTCTGGCGCGGCCACAGAAGGGTCCAGAGTAGGGGCCATCATCATCAAGTCGAAAGCTATCCCGGTTACTTGTACCACCATCTGAACAGCTTGTTATTCCGCCTGATGAAAGCAAAGCAGAGGTTAACAGTTCTCACTGAAGGTTCATAACATTCTGAACCATCGTCTGGATACAGCTAAGCAGGGATAATGCTGAAGCACTGGATGCCAACCTTTTGAGGGGGTTCTAAGTGATGGGTTCCTATTTTTTCTGCCTCCCAGTCACTCTCCATCATTGACCTCTGTCCTCTGAGCCGTTTCTGAACTTTCTCCAGCCAATCTGACCATTCTTTCCTCAACCACTAACCCAAACACCCTCTCACTACAGTCTCTGTGATCTGATCTGGTAGCACAGTGTTTTGAGCATTGAACACTTGCTAAAGAGGCAGACGATACAGACTTAACTCCCTATACAGGCCAGACAATTCATTTTGTACCTGTAAACAAAGACAAAAACCTATAGCAACAGTTTGACCTTTATGTGCTACTGATCACAAATGGTCAAAGCATAAGACTACAGGGTTCCCTATACTTATCACAATGTAGCTAGAATGCTCTCCCAAACATCCTATTATGTACCAAAAGCCATTTTGAAACAACATCTCTATGCATAAAAGGTAGCACTTTTGCTTGTGTGAATGTGAAGGAAAAAGAGAAAGTGTGTTCCAGTGTCTATATTCCCAAGTGGTTCTAAACTTTCTAAAGTGGGCTTTTAAAATTGCTCCAAATCCTTGTTCTCTGGTCCTTTTCCCTTCTGAGTTTGAACCTCAAGGGAAAAAAAGAAAAAAGATTCCATTTTTGCTGCCTGCAGGATGGGGGCAAGAATGGCTCCCAGTGGAAGTAACTCTCGGTTTCTCCACCACTCTCAACACTCTCCACTACTTTCACTTTCTCCTTCAGTGTGGCCTTTCAGTGCTCTGTTCAAAGACAAAACAGCCCTGGTTTCTCTACTATTTTTCAAATAATTATGGAAATAAGGTAAAGAACCTTAGAGATGTTCTATATTGAATATGAACCGTTGTAAGAAAGGGTGAGTTGCATGTAACTAAGAAACTAAGTTGTGTATGACAATAGCTAAGTGGGCCACCATCTCCTTACACCTTCCCTTCCGTGGCCACCCCTGGCGCTGGCTTTTCATGGTACATTCCAGTTAGTAAAATTCTACCCACATTCAGCATTACAATTGAGAATTTTAAAACTTCCAGCAGAAGTGAATAGTTATAAAATCTGAATTTCACACATGCAAAAATATATCCTTCAAATGTTTCTACATTAGTTTTTTTTTTTTTCCACAAAATAACTCTTCTTCAGCCAATAGGAAAAGTAGGTCTTTGAGATCTATCTTCAAATAACAGAAGCAGTTGATTAAAAAGGAAATGGAAAATAAACCTTGCAAAAAAAGAAAACATTTAAAAGCCCTGAAAAGATCAGAGGGATGTATAACAGTATACACATAAAAAAGTTATAAGGTGCCCTGTAGTTTCATTCAAATACTGTAGCAGGCTATGTGACTGAAACCTGAACGACTTCCCTCTTGGAAACAATGATTTTAGAAAATCCTTGTTGAATGCATGCTGCTTCCTTTTGTCACCCGGTGATATTCCTTCTATTTAGTATTTACATTTGTATTTCATTCTTGACTCACTAATGCTGGATGGACACCTAAAAAGTAAATGTGGGAATTGATGCATACATCCTGCTCTTTTCAGAATACTTCAGGCAAAAAAGAACAGAAAGGAAGGAAAAAGTGAGGACAGGAGAAGGGAAAAAAAGAGAAGAAAGAAAGAAAGGAAAGGAGGGAGAGAAGAAAGGAAGAGGAGAAGGAAGGAAGGAAGAAAAGAAGGAGGAAAAAAGGAAAGGAAGGAGAAAGGGAGGGAAGGAAGAAGAGACAGAACAGGATTTCATTTATCTGAACACGTCAAGTCATTTTAAAAATTTTGACTCAAGATAATGCTAGTTCTCCTAAGCAAACATTTTTATTTTAGGGATGCAGATTTTAGTCACCCAACATGATCTTTTTGAGGCATATCCCCAAGAGTTCTGCCAACTACAGTGTTAAAAGTTTCAAAATAATACATAATTCTGTCGAATATATTGTGTATCATTTTAAACACCAGCAGCTCTATGGATTCAGCAATCCTACATTTTCACTATTTCTCTTATCAAGTAGCTGGAAACTTTTTGCTAATTTGATAAGCCCCAGAGAAGCCAATCTGTTGTTGGTTTTCATTTGAATTTGTTTCTCTCTCTTTTTTTTTAATTCCAGTATTATTAACATAACAGTGTTATATCAGTTTCAGGTGTACAGTATAGTGATTCAACACTTCAGTACATTTACACAGTGCTCATCATGATAAGTGTACTCTTCAGTCTCCATCACCTATTTCACCCATCCCCCATCCACCTCCCCTCTGGTAACCATCAAGTTTGTTCTCTATAGTTAAAAATCTGCTGTTTTTAATTAGCTTAGCCCTCCCAGTAAGGATCTTGTCCCTTATTCTATAGGCTTACTTGATGAACTCCGCCCACTGTAGAGACTATCCATGGAGTCACTGGCTTTGAGGGAGACCTTCTCTGTGTGAGATCCAATCATTGGGTCACTGTTCCGATATGGGAGGGCACCCTCTCCAACTTCCTCATCCTTCAGAAAAAACATATCAGAGGTTAAATGCAGAGAACTGATTTCCATGGAGATATCCACTTGATTTAACAAACAAGACATGTTTTAGCAATAAAATACTTAGGAATACATCAGCATAAAATATGAGGGTCATTAATCTTTAGTTCAATTTCGAGCAAAACATGTTATACTTGGAAAAATTCTTTAGATGAAACATTCCACATTATGGAATTCAAATGAAATTATAATAATTCATTTTGTAAATTAGTATGAATATCATATTGAGGCTACTTAATCAGAAATGTTAGATTTATTAACATCTATGCTTTATCTGTTAAAGCACTTTTATTTATTCATGTTCTCCTTATCATCTATTTACCACCATTACTAATCCTTTGAGATCTGATATTACAAGTTTAAATTCTACAGAGTTGTTTCATGTCAGTTATTTGCACCCTATCAGATCACTAGATATGAATAAAACATGCACATTTTGCAATTCTAAAGTGAAGCTTATCTAAGAAGCTTTACAAATCGTCATACCGAGCTTGCACACCTAGTCAAGTGAAAAGCAAATCCTGCATAAAATTCGGAAAGACAGACAATTTCAAAACAAATTACATCTGCTTGAAAACATCTCAAATGTCTTCCATATTTAGATAGTTTGGACAAAACCTATAAATTTCTTAATATTCATCAAAATGTAATTCAATATTCCTCATTTATGAGCATTTCTAAACATCGATAAAACTTCAGAATACATATATGATATATACTCAGTTTGATTCTCTGCTTATACCCATTCCTTTATTCATTTGTTCAGTCATTCAACACAAATTTAGAGAACACCTTGTAAGGACCTGGCACTGTTTTTGGGAACTGGGGATACCATAGTAAACAAGATAACACGGTCCCTGCTCTAATGAGATACGTTTTAGTGTGTTAGGGTTTGTGTGTGTGTGTGTGTGTGTTTGTGTTTAGTGTTTGGGGAGGTGTGTGTAAACAAAACGCAAAAGAAAATTTCAGGGAATAAGTGCTATGAAGGAAATAAAACAGTGATGTGAGAGGATTAGCTACTGGATTAGGGTTAGGGGAAGATTGGCTGATTTCGATGGAGTAGCCTCCAAAGACCTCCTCTGTAGGGTAATATATGCTCTGAATTCTTGACCTGAATGTTAAGATATAACTTGTATAAAGAATTGGAGGCAGTTTTCCAAGCAAAAAGAATAGCAAGAACAAAATAACTCAACTCAGAATTAGCTTGGGTTGTGAGCGGGAAGACCAGGCCAATGTAGCTGGAGCTGAGTGAGAGCAAAGAGAGTGTTAGAAAATGAGCTCAGAGAAGTACACTGAAGTCAGATCAGGAAGAGCTTTATAGATCAAGTGTAGTGGTCATGGAAATGTGTCACTCAGATCTTTTGCTGTGAGACCCTTCTTTACTGACAGCCCCAGCTACTGAATTCACCATGGTGTCTGCATGGAGGCCATGCTCTCTGCCAGTGACTGAAACAGTGGGGGTACCATTTGAGTCCATTCTGTGGGATACAGGGCTCCTCTAATGGAAAACTTTGGTTCAGGGACTATCTACCAGTCTGGCTAACACTTTCTTCCTCTCCTTTCACAGTGTCAGACTTGCACTGTTGTCTGAAGGCTTTCCCTATCCAGTTCTTTCTCTATCCTTCACATTCATTTTCCCCAATAGTCTTTGGTGTGTCCATTGCCTTTCTTAGGACCTGCTTCTCAGAGGACTGGAATGAACATACTATAGTAAGGGAAGGCATTGTGAAGGCATTGTAAAATTTTAACCAAGGGGCATGATGTGTTCTGAATTCCACTTTAGAGCCTTCTGGCTTTTGTGTGGAGAATGGCTTTTATGGAGGAAAGAGTGGAAGAAAGATGACCAATTAGGTGGTTTTATGGCAGTCTAGGCAAGAGAAGTTGTTCTTGGTTGGTTGGTTGGTTGGTCTAAAGCAGGAATAGTTTACATAGAGAAATTAGGAGTTTTAGATAAGATTTTGGAGTTTGAGCCAACAGGAGGTGGTGATGAACTGGTGTGAAAAGTGAGAGAAAAAAGGAATTTGGAATGATTCTTGGGCTTTCTTCTTTCTTTACTTCCTTCCTTCCTACCTTACTTCTTCTCTTTCCTTTTCTTCTCTGTTCTGTTCTTTTCTCTTCTTTCCATCTAGAGTTATGGCAATGTTGTCTATTACTACTGGGAAGACTGGACAAGAAACATGTTTTTTGGTAGAGCATGGAGAATTAATAATTCAGTTTTGAATATATTGGGTTCCAGAAACTTATTGTACATATAGATAATGATATTGAATATGCAGTTTGTTGGTTTTTTTTAAACATATGTTTAGTTTAGGGTTTTTTTTTAAGATTTTATTTATTTATTTGAGAGAGAGACAGCACAGAGGGAGAGGGAGAGGGAGAGGGAGAGGGAGAGGGAGAAGCAGGCTCCCGATGCAGAGATCCCAGGACCCTGAGATCATGACCTGAGCACCGACTGAGCCACCCAGGCACTCCCACAATTGGTTGTTTAAGTACAACAGATAAGATATTATAGCTAGAGATTAATTGCAGAAAAACAAAGTGATGAGACTAGATGAGATCACTGAGGGGGAGAGTAGACTGAGTAGAGCATCTAGGAATAAGCCTCAGAAGGACTCAATATTTAGAGAGACAGTCTTTCCAAAGCCAAGAAAGGAAACTCTGAGAAAGAAAGAAAGCCAGAAGAATGCTCAGTTAAAGAAACCAAGAAAAGAGAATGTTTCAAATGTATTGAAATCATTACTTGTGTCAAATACGGTTGAAAAGTAATGTAAGAAGTAAGAAAAGTGACCAGTAAATTCAGCCACACAGAGGTTAATATCGATTATGATTACTGTTTTAATGGATTATTGGGGACGGAAGTCCTACTGAAGTGGGTTAAAAAGAGAATGGACTAAGACTTACAGATCAATGTAACAGAATTGAGAGTCAGAAATAAACCCATATATAATTATGACCATGTATTTATTATCAATAGATTTTCAACAAGGGTGCCAAGAAAAAACAACAGTAAAATAATTGTCCTTTTAACAAATTAGTGTTGTGACAACTTGATATCCATATTCGAAAGAATGAAGATGGACTCCTACTACACTCCATAGAAAAATTAGTAGATCATACACCAAAATTTAAGAGCTACAGCTGTAAACTCTTGGAAGAAAGCACAGGAGTAAATCTTTGTGAACTTAAGTTAAACAATAGTTTTTTAATTGCAATATTAAAAGTTAAATGACAAAAAAATGGATAAATTGAGCTATATCAAATTATAAACATCTGTGCTACAAATGATACCATCAAAAAAGTGAAAATATAGTCCACAGAATGGGAGAAAATATATCATATTGCAAATCATATATCTGATAAGGTACTTGCATCCAGGATATATTTTTAAAAAGCTTAAAAGTCAACAATAAAAAAACCCCAAATAACCCAATTAAAAAATGGGCAAAAGATTTGAGTAAACATTTTTTTTTAATTTTTTTTAAAGATTTTATTTATTTATTTGACTGAAAGAGAGAGAGAGAGAGCACAAGCAGCGGGAACCTCAGGCAGAGGGAGAGAGAGAAGCATGCTCCCTGCTGAACAGGGAGCCCGACATGGGGCTCCATCCTAGGATCCTGGGATCGTGACCTGAGCTGAAGGCAGACACTTACTCGACTGAGCCACCCAGGTGTCCCTGAGTAAACATTTCTTTAAAGAAGATATACAAATGGCTCATAAGAACACGACAAGATTCTCAGCATCATTAGTCATCAGGGAAGAGCATATCAAAGCCACACTGAAATTCCACTTCACACCCACCAGGAAGGCTAGCATCGAAAAGACAGTAACAAGTGTTGGCAAGCATGTAGAGAAACCGGAACCCTCACACATTGCTAGTGGAAATGTAAAATGATGCAACTGCTTTGGGAAGCAGGTTGCCAATCAAAATATCAGATAGTTACCATATACCCAAGAGAAACAAAAGAATATTTCCACACAAAAACTCATAAATATTTATGGCAGTATTATTTACAATAGCCAGAAAGTGAAAACAACTCAAATGTCTATCAACTGATGAAAAGAAAAATAAAATGTAGTTTATGTGTAAAATGGAATATTATTTGGCAATAAAAAGAAATGAAGTACTGATGTTTGTTACAACATATGACATATCGTTCTTCATATACTACATGTGTGATCTTTCTGAGCCTCCATTTCCTCTATTAACATAGGAGTCATAATGGTTTTTTTCCATCTAACTTCTGAGGGAGAAAATAGATGTTGAAGTCCTTCCTAAAGGACCAAGTGATTCTCTATCTAGAAGAAGAATCTGTTGACTATTAAAAAAAAATTAATAGAAAAAACCAATGATTAGCAGAGTATACTTACCTTTTCCTCAGAAAGGGCTTTGATGTACTTTTTACCCACTTTTTTCTTCATTGTCCAGGAAATAGCTCTCATTTTTTTCCCTAAACCTCCTCCATTATTTGAAGTTTTATTTTGTTCTCCACTTTCATTTATGGGTTCCCCTTCATATGCCTAGTTAGAATTGTTTACAAAAGACAGAATAATAAAGCAATAAAAATCATTGATCTGAAAACATTATTAAAGAGAAGATTTCAGATTTGTGGGTTTCCTATGTATTATGTTCAGCAGCCTCCAAAACTTCAATCTGAATATAATACATATTTTTAAAGTTGTCCAAGCCTGGTTACATGTGTTACAAACTCAGAAAATAAAACTTGCGATATCGAAGGACCTGAGCTTCACACTTAAACATTTTTTTTAAAGAATTTTAGTTATTCCTTGAATAGCTGTACAGTAGAGCCACTCTAATTTTTCCCATTTTTTTAAAAGATTTTATTTATTTATTGGGTGGGGGGAGGAGAGCGATAGAGCACGAGCAAGGGGAGAGGCAGAGGGAGAGGGAGAAGCAGGCTTCCCGCTGAGCAGGGGGCCCGATGCGGGGCTCGATCCCAGGACCCTGGGATCATGACCTGAGCCGAAGGCAGATGCTTAACCAGCTGAGCCACCCAGGCACCCCAGGTTTTCCCATTTTTGAGATGGGCAAAAGAGAATTAAATGACAGGCATAATGAGTGATTAAGTCTACATAGATGGAGATATTTTATTGGGGCCTTTAGAAAGGCTATAGCATGTATTCATGCTTAACGGGCATTAAAATATCCTCTTGATTCTTTAGAAATTGAAATAGTCATTTGTAAAAAAGTTTTGAAGTAAATCTGAGAAAGTGCAATTTTTTCTTCTTGCAGGTGAGTATCCCATGCATATTTCCCACATTCTCAAACAATAGTAAATGTGAAGTTGGTCTAGCCATTAGTATACAAATCTTCATGTAATTCATATGTAGTGTATTCTAAGTATTTAACAGTATCTGATACTTTGTTTGATTGATTATTGCCTGCCCACTATGAGGTATGCTCCATGAGCCTAGAGATTTTATATTTTTTATTTATTCTGAACATCTAGAACACTTTCAGGAACATAACTGACACTTGATATTTTTTGAATAAGCAAAACTTTTCATGTAGAACTTTGGAGTGTTTTTTTTTTTTCTTGAAGGACCTATTGGGTTATATATCCTCAATATCTTAGATTTCAAGAAAGGACCCTTAAGGGTCATCTAGTCTAGCATTGCCCACCATTCTTGATGGGTGGACAGACAGATATTTCCTGAATATAAAAAAAATTAGGGGAAACTTCCCTTTAGTTAACTTGAATATTTAATTTGTGTTTTTGTTGTACTTAAGATTTATTTATTTATTTTAGAGAGGGAGAACATGCATGGGGGTAGGAGGTAGAGGAAGGAGGGAGGGAGTCTCAAGTAGATTCCCTGCAGGCCCAGCACGGGGCTGAATCTCACAAGCCTGAGATATGACCTGAGCCGAAGTCAAGAGTTGGATGCTTAACTGACTAAGCCACCCAGGCTCTCCTTGAATATTTTAATAGGAAGGTTTAACCACATAGTTAACAAAATTATTAGTCAATATTATGTTTTACTTCATATCTTACCCCAAATTGCCTATGATAAATACGAATGGACAGCCTATTTAAGTCCTCATTGAACTTTAATTTCTACATTCAAGGTTATAAAAGGCAGATTCTTCGCTTAATTCAAAAGCCCTGAATAAAATATAACTTGAATTTTTTAAATTTAGCCTTTAAATTTTTAAAATTAGCCTTTTCTTTTCTCTTCTCTCTACTTAAGCTCTATCTTCACTCTAAAATTACAAACTAAAAACAAAACAAAACAACCCATAAAAAAACAACAAAAAAGAAAGTATATTATTTTATGACTGTGTTAAATTACCGTTGCCTAAGCTTCAAGAAAGTATCACAAATACTTTTTTTAAAGATTTTTATTTATTTATTTGACAGAGAGAGAACACAAGCAGGGGGAGGGGCAGGCAGAGGGGAGGGAGAAGCAGGCTCCCCGCTGAGCAAGGAGCCCCATGTGGGGCTGGATCCCAGGTTGCTGAGATCATGACCTGAGCTGAAGGCAGAGGCTTAACCAACTGAGCCACCCAGGTGCCCCAGTATTACAAATATTTTTAGTTTTAGGTTTTTCTATTGTTTCTTACAGACGTTTCAAAAAAACTACCTCAGCATATTTTCAACTTTCACATTTTTCCATGCTGTTCTTTTTCATAGTCTGAATCACAACTTTATTAGATATTTATTTACAGTTGTTGTCATTGTTGCTTTTCTATCTGTCTCTCCCTCTATACTTTAGCCTTCATGAAGTAGGGATTTTCATCAATTGCAACAGTAATTTTTGAGTGCCTAATGGAAACACTGTCATAGAGTAGGTGCCCAAGAAATACCTGTTGAATGAATGCTGAATTGCTGAAAAATGTGTGAACTACTTTTTCAGGGTCACTAAATTCTTTCACAAATTACTAAGCCACCATTACTCATCAATGAACCTGAATGAGTCTGAGCTACTTTTACAGGTTAACCCTAGAATTATAAACTAAACAGCAGATTCTACTGTGTAGAATCTACAATCTATGTGTGATTATGGGAAATTAAAGGTTTATATAAGATGTTAATTGAGAATGAAATTATATGGGGTTTCTCACTATATACATATATTGTCTTATTTAAAACTAAATAAATGTGGATAAACTATATAGCTATTTATAGGTTTATCCATAAGCATGTGTATATAAATAATATACATATATGTAAAGGGGATATATTATACACACACGCATATATGTGTACTAATGGATATATTTATAAAGTAATACTAAATGTCATTCTATTTTCATTTTTTTATTTAGAATATCCATTACTGAAATACCAATATTTAAAAATATTATAGATACATACACATAGGAATCTGAAAAGTATATTGAGAAATTAAATATAACAGGAAAAATTCTTTATAAAATAAACATACAATAATGAGAATGAATAATTAAGAAATACATAAGATCCAAAACCTATTGATCTAAAATGTATCACATGTGGAGTTGCTGAATCAGGTTTAATGATAAACATTATTTTTAATTTTCTCAGTATATATCCCTCCTCTCTACTGTTTGGTCAGTTGTTAAGCTTTTCATTAATCACATCACAGTTGGCCTGTCATTTGTGAGATAGTATAACAGAAATGCAAACTTGAAGTCAGACAAGATGTTGAGTTCTGCCTTTGTCATTTATTAACTGTGTAATTTAGAAGTACCTTTACTCAACGAAATGTATTTCTTCATTGGTAAAATAATAATACTAATAGTTCCTATATTAGAGGTGGGAAAGTGTTTAGTGTTGTGCCTATATCATGATACATGTTCAATTAAATGTAGATATTATTATTACCATGATTTTTATATAGACTTAATTTTATGGGAAGCTTTCCTTAAGCTGCATTTAAAGTGTTCATGGTTTGCAAATGTGGACGTAATAGTCACCTATGAAGCATAGCAATGCACATGGTAGAAGTGTTGAGTGCAATTGAGCAACCATATGCTCTCTTTGACAAATTTACAACGAAGCCATTTAATCATTAAATTAAAGCAATTACCATCTACAAAAAATTTAACATATATATTGTTTTATGGTGGAAATGCTCAGAAAATTTGGGATTATTTGTGTTCCATTACATTGTAACTCTCTCTTTTTTTTTTTTTTTTAAAGATTTTATTTATTTATTTGAGACAGAGAGAATGAGATACAGAGAGCATGAGAGGGAGGAGCGTCAGAGGGAGAAGCAGACTCCCCGCCGAGCAGGGAGCCCGATGTGGGACTCGATCCCGGGACTCCAGGATCATGACCTGAGCCGAAGGCAGTCGCTTAACCAACTGAGCCACTCAGGCGCCCTCTCTCTTTTTTTTTAATACCATTGACTATATTCCCTATGCTGTTATTTTTGTTTTCTGTGACTTATTCATTCAGTAACTGGAAGCCTGTATCATCCTGTCCCCCAACCCTCTCCTCTCTGGAAATCATCAGTTTGCTTTCTGTCTTTTTAAATTTTTTTATTAACATATAACGTATTACTTGTTTCAGGGGTACAGGTCTGTGATTCATCAGTCTTACACAATTCACAGCGTTCACCATAGCACATACCCTCCCTGATATCTATCCCCCAGCCACCCCATCCCTCCCACCCCTCTCCACTCCAGCAACCCTCGGTTTGTTTCCTGAGATTAAGAGTCTCTTATGGTTTGTCTCCCTGTCTGGTTTCGTCTTGTTTCATTTTTCGCTCCCTTCCCCTATGATCCTCTGTCTTGTTTCTCAAATTCCTCCTATCTGTAACTCTCTTCTTAAGTTCATGTTCTGCTTTTCCTAATGTTAGGCTTCTTATAGAGCTTTTTACTTTTTACTTTTAATACCCAGCATGGTAACTAGGTACTAAGTAGTTCTTTGTTCATTTATTACAAAAATATAGGCAAGACTGTGACTTTTAAATATACTTTACTTTGCAAAAGTGATATTGGCTTCATAATTTTTCCTAATGTGTTTGCATAACATTCATAAAATTGTAATAAAATACTAACCTCGGTTGAATCATCTGGTTTTGAAATGGAGTGATTCCGAAAATGATCAAAATTCCCAAAACTACTGCTGCGCTATAAAATAGGAAAGAGAAAGGAAAGGACATTTAGAATTTGTGACTTTCACTGATAAAATTGCTAAATAGATTAGATTATGGTTCAGTAGGCGTCAATATACTGCAAATACAGGATTAAAAAAGCTCTCTGGAATATCTAAAGGCAGTGAAAGTATAACTATTATTAACATTATAATATTTACAGTTGACAAAAATGCCTTCATATGTTTTATGTTACAGTGTTAAGAACCTTGAAGAAAATCTATTAAATTGTTTTCAATTTATAGTGTTACTTCTGCTCTTGGGAATGGCAGCTGAAGAATCTATGAATTCTAAGCTGAGCCTTCTTGAAGTGAGCTAGCCACAAACTAATTTCCATGACAGAATGACATGTATTACTAACCAGCCAACTAATAAACAAATAACAACAACAAAACAAACAAAAACATGAGTAGATGCACCAGTATGCCTCATAAAGATCGTATTTGTCAAAAAACCAAAATGAATACAAATGCATTTATCACTGATAACTTGATAATTTGAGACTCTCTACTTGGTGTCAGAAAGAGAAGGCGTACACGCAGAGCTAGGAATAAATTGAAAGCAGCATTTAGGCATGCCAGTCAGAGGTTGAAAGTAAAACTGAATTTGTCCACATTTAGCATGGGATTACAATGAGACCTCTGGGTCAATTTCATTCACTGGTTTTGAGAAAAAGCTCAGTATGTTAATAGAAGACTTGTTCCCTTGGATACTTTTTGCCTACAAAGCTAAATTTTTATTCTTATGTAACTCATTCTAAGCAGGTAATTATAAATAATTCTTCATATGTTACAAAGTAAATGATTCCCCTAAATACAGTTTCAACAATCTTTAGAGTCATTGAGTCAAAAAATGGGTATTTCTTCACTAATTTTATACATTGTTTGGAATGGTGGATATCTTGATGTTGTGTCCTTTATGTACCCATAAATCCTAAGAATATGTTCTGTCTCAAGAACTTAATTTCATTCCAAGCTTATAATATTTTCAGAATAAGCTGCTGGTACGGAAAAATCACCTGGTCATTTGAAAAGTTAACAATGGGAGCCAGTAATTTATAAAACCGTGTCTTGTCCTTTCAGAAGTCACAGCCCAGTTTAGTATAAGTCAGCTTGGAAGGCTCGTTGTTCTTCCAAGCACTCTTAGACTCATGTTTCCCCACCAGCTATCTTTAAAACTCCTTGTTTCCCTTTTAAATGAGCCGAAATAAAAAGATCCTGATGTGTGACAAGAGGTGAGCTTGATAGACAGTGTGATACGTGACACCGCCCCAAGGACGGTGGCTGTGATAGACACGATTAACGCCTCTTGCTGACTCGCCACCCCGGCCGAACGAGCCCTTCAGCTTGTGGCAAGAAGCGAGAGAGAGAAGGGCTGAAACTGAGACCCACGCTGGAAAATACGAAGTCTTCTCATGCAGGGCTTACTAACCTAGAATGACTTCCCAGAGCATTAATCACTTCTGCTTGCCTAGTAGGCATTTCCATGAGGCTACCATCGCCCAGGGATCACAAAAGGGAATTGAGTGTGTTGTTGTCCTGCTTATAAACAATCTGAACACAGGGAAATCTGTTACTCTTTTATATGCTTGAAACATTTTGACGGCCTATTGGAACCTTTGCCTAGGGCAATTTTGCAGCCTGCATCCAGCCTGCGTCCTGTTAAATATTAATGAGGGTTACAGCATGATTTCCACCGCTGGATAATGGGTCCTGTTGCCCAGGAGGGCACAGAATAGGCTCACTTCAGCATTTCTCAACACTATCTTCTGCCATTAAGTAATCAATAGTCACCACCTTTTAAAATTAATTCTCCCCTCATTATATCAATAAAGAGAAGCAGATTTGGAAGTAGTGGTTTAAGAAGTCTTTAGACTATTACTTTGGGTTTTGTCAGTCATCTCATTGTGAATCACTCAATAGCTTTAAACCAAAGGAGTATAATTATCAATCCATGATAAGACACCATTAAGAAGCAAATCTAAGTATTTAAAATGATGTTTTTAAAATTTCATTATTCTCTAGTCTAAAAGTTAGTGACGTTCTGAGATGGTTTCATAATGTATAGGTTATGGCTTATGATGAAAAGGGCTAATGTCTACTGTGAGGTATGCACAACGAACAAATTTATAATTTCTACTCCTATTAAGTCTCCAATGAAAAGGTGAATCATGTGGAAGCAAGCTGGCTTCCTAGATAATAGTCCTTTATAAATGAGAATCTGTTTGAATATCAATAATTTTGCATTGTATAATCATAATGGATTAGATTTAGCAAATATTATCTGTTACAGAAGCTCCCATCAAGACAGAGCTGTTATATAAATGAATAGCTATCAATGGGAAGAGTAACTTAAATAAAAATGCAATTAGTATTTTAGCTAATTCTTTGTATCTGTTGACATTAGATCATATTTAGTCTTTAATTCCACTCTCTCTATATTTATACAGTTTTTCCTTGTGCAATTAGATACGCATTTATAAAATAGCACAACATTTGTGGAGGGTAATTTGGCAAAACTAGTAAAATTGTATATGTATTTGCCCTTTGACCCAACAATTCCATTCCTACACATCTATACCAAAGACACACACTTGACTATAAACTGACTTACACATCCACATTCACTATAAAACTTCTATATTATTAAAAAAGCTAAAAACCCTAATGTTCACTGAGAGGGGACTGATTGAATAATGTGTGGTAAATCCAAACAGTGAAACTGTGTAACTATAAAAAGTTGAAAGATAACTCTTTATACTTCTATGGAATGATCTCCAGGATACTGTGTAAGCAGATGTGTGTAGAGAAAAATGTACATAGTAGGATGCTGTTTATCTAAGGGTGGCAATAGACGTTTGTGTTTTAATACAGGCGAAAACATGTTTTCTTTCTTAGAAAATGGGGCAAAATGAACAAAGTGAAAAAGGAGAGGAAACAGACTTTGACTATACCTCGTTTTGTAGAGTTCACTTTAAAATCATGTAACTTTTACTTATTTTTAACAGAACTTAATAAAAATAAAAACAATCCCTAAAAATTCTAAATAAAAATAAAACAAATGAACCTAATTCTATATTGAATTGGTGGTTTAGAGAGGGGAATTACTTTAAGTGATTTTTAAGAACAATAATTTGACCGTCCAGAGAATAAAAAACAAGGACAAATTTTAACCTGTTTTCAGTAATCCTATTGTTATTAATAATATTGGTATACATAAATACATATGTTGAGGGACAGTGAAAATAAGTATTGGTCATGGCATAAAGCAAGTAGTCTTTCAAAGACTACTAGGCCCATGTCAAAACAACACAGGGGCCATACTGAAACTGTTCTCACTGGGGTAGATTGTATCCAAAGATGGGATAATTTTCATATCAATAAAAATAATAAGTGAATATTGAAATACATCTAATATATCAAAAGTTCGTGAGTTCATAATGATACCAAAAGGAAAAAAAAATCAGTGATCGCCTTTGGAAACATTACAGTTATATTATGAAAACTGGCAAATAAAAGACTTAAGCATTTAATGTACTCTTCTTTTATGAAATATATTTCAGAGTAGATAGTTAATGAGGAAAAGTTATCTTTCTCTGTGTGTGTGTGTATTCAAGCTAATCAATTAGGAATGATGAAATGACAAGGTGACTGTTTCATAAACCCCTGATGGCAATCAAGGATCTCAGCGATGATCCCTGATGACTACTAGAATTACAAAGAGACAGCTAGAATATGTGCTTCGTGGTAGCAGCACCTAACACCACCAGTGAAGTATTCTTAGAAAAATTAACACCAGACTTCTGTATCTAACTACCAGATTATAGGAAATACAGGGACGAAGGAACATTTTAAATGACACCAGAAGGATGCAATCAGAAAAAGCTAGACAGTGAGAAAATCTACAGGACAAATAACCTGGTTTCTTCAACTAATCAATAGAAAGAGGGAAAGTGTAGATTAATAACCTCTAAGAGTTGTCTAACCAAATAACAACCCATGGATCTTGTTTAGATAGAGATCAAAGAAACCATTGTAACAAAAGCAGCCAGAACACAACTGAGGGATTTTTTAAATAACTAGCTGATGATACTGAGGAAGTACTGTTATTTTTCACTTGTAATTCAGGATAGCCTAGTGAGGGGCAGCAAGTGTGTGGGCATAAAGAAGAAACATGACTGGCCATTATTTAATGGTTAACTGGGTGATGGATACATGAGGTGAATTGTACTATTCTGTTATTGCATATGCTTAAAGTTTCCCATAGTAAAATGTTCGGCTAAAAGAAAAAAAAAGAGAGAGAAACGTACCGAAATAATAGCAAAAAATAAGAGTTAATCATGTGCAGGGGCTGGGAGGTACATGGGAAAACTACTTTCCTCTTAATTTTGCTGTGAATCTAAAACTGTCTAGTCTTTAAAAAAAAAGTTAATGGTTACACAACTTTCTAAGGAACCAAATATCATTAATATTGCTTACATCATAGTTGTTAGGAAGTACAGACATATTTAAGGAGAAAATAAAGTTCTGCTTTCCAAGTTTATTTTAGAACAACCAACTTTCTAATACAGATGCATGTTATTAGATTGCGTTTTGAAGACTCTCTGCAATTACACGGTACAGATTACTTTCTTCCACTTAGTCTACTTGGCTTCCACAATAAAAAGGCTGAATAGTGTCATATGGGGTGTTTGAACACATCTGTGTGTGTCCCTACACAATGCAATGAATAATATAAAAGAACATAAGAGGATTCATTTTTTTGTTACATTTTTTCCCTCTAGTTTTGTATAACAATTCTAATTATTACAGAATGTCATGTTATGATATAAAGCTGACAGTGTTCTTAGAAATGATCTAGTCCTTTTCAGTGAGGAAATTTACAGGAACCAGAACTTGAAAAAATAAACTCTTTTTTTTTCAGTTCTCCACCCTGATGTACGCTCAACTCTGCCATCCCATTCCAAAGTTTCCATCA